GATGCTGCTTGGCCTGCTGTGTTCATCCAGCCCTGCACCTTGTTGTCTCGGATTCTCCAGCATCTGCAGTTCCTACTATCTCTGTCTTTTTCCTTGTTTATTTCAAGAGTCACATCTACTCAAGCCCGAATCGCTGGTCAGAGATCCAGAGTGCTGCCTGATTTTAATCCCTTCTCTATGCCAACTGCAAAAATATCAAAAACTCGATCAAAACCTGGATTTTGGCCTGGATAATTGTATCCCACTGAGTGACCAACTAAGTTCATAGACAATCCTTTTGATATTTTGCATTTGACTCATTTTAGAACAAAGAATCAGGAGATTGTTTTGTCTGAAGAAAGAAATTGCCGCATTTCCAATGGTTGGAGTTGCTAAATGTTTTCCTCTTCATTGTTCTCTGGATATGTTCCATCCTCCGCTCATCATGCAACAGGAAGCTTCCCAGTTCTCCCATTGTAAATTCCATTGCTCCACCCATCCTGGTTTTCTCAATTTATCTTTATAGCCTACTGAGAGTGATGACCAAGGGATTTGATTAAAACATACTGTTAAAGCAATGCTCTAACCTAGTATTATGTTTTAAGGTTTCAGCTGGTTTAGCAAAGCATCAATAGCATGTCAGGGCTGAAGTTGTGAAATTATTTCTTTCCCACCACCACTCCATCGATATCATTGGATGGAGAAATGGGAGTGTGATGTTATAAGTGGGAATAGTTAATAGTTTCCATCTGGAAAGAGGCAGCAGGCTGAGAATCTGCCTGAATGTAAAACAAGTAATTGACCAACACTGATTTTGTTATTTAACTTGGGTAACTTTTAATTTAAGTGTCACAGACTAAATGACGCATAAATCATCATTAGTTTGAAATAAAAGTTTACATAGGGGAGAATTGCATAACATCATCATCAGAGCGATCAACCCAATCGCAGCGGACCTGAAATCACCATGAAATTGTGAATTCCTCAATGGAAGATTCACTCATTGATTCAAGCTTCTCTCTTACCTTCTTCATTCTTGTAAGTTCCCAAGTCTCATGTTAGAGAATCAGACAGTTATTCCTGCTTTATGGCGCGTTTTTTTTTAACCAACCAACCAGGTGTTTTCCAATGGCAATCCAAGATGGCCTCTCCTGCAACTCTACCTCCTCCGTATGAGGCAATGCCTGACCTAGCACAGGGTCACGGATTAGTTTGCAAACACAGTTGCCCCAGAGTTTCATATAGTAAGGTTCTAGTTTGTTCCTCAGTTTATGTCAGATCTCAACCAGGGCCATGTGTGTCAGGTGTGGCTCAGTGGTTGCATTCTCAGGTACTGTTCCTACCTCTGGACCAGGAAGCCTGGGTTCAAGTCCCATCTGCTCCAGAAGTGTATAGCAACATCTCTGAGCAGGTTGATTAATAGCTAGAAGGTTGTAGGTCCATTGAACTCCACAGATTCCTGGTAGATTTCTCGTTTGCTTCTCTGAATCCTCTCATCGCTGAAGAGTCCAATGCAAGTTTGGTGTGGACATTCCCAGAACTGCCAGCTCTGTTCCCGTTTTTGCTTGGAGGAACCTCTGCAACTGTGGCACTTTAGGCTTTCCTCTGTGCATGTTGAATATTGTGTGTTTGTCTCAGATAGCCTTCAAAGCTCAGTGCTTGCCTCCACATGTGCCATTGATAGTAACATTTTCGCAAGAGCAGTGACCCTCAACGCAGAATTGAATTGACCGACTTCATGTGGTTTACCCTGAGACAGTTCTCCTTCAAAGATCTCCCTTGGTATTCTGTACTCATTGCAGACCCAGGATTCTGCACTTTCTAACTGTGGAGGCAATGGCCCAGTGGTATTATCACTAGACGATTAATCCAGAGACTCGGCTAAAGTTCTGAGGACCTTGGTTTAAATCCCACCACAGCAGATGGTGGAATTTGAATTCAATAAAAATAAACTGGAAACCATGAAAAAGCCCATTTGGCAAACTAATTCGGGAAAGGAAATGTGCTATTCTCACCTTGTCCAGCCTACATGTAACTCCAGGGACACAGCAATGTGGTTGACTGTCAACTGCCCTCTGAAATAGCATAGCAAGCCACTCAGTTCAAGACAGCTAGGGGTGGGTAGTAAATTCCGACCAGCCAGCGATGCCCACGTCACAAAAATGAATTTAAAAAAAGTTTGCTAGAGACTGGAACCCCGTGCAACAAGGTACCAGCTGCAGACGAGACCAAGGTAGATTAAGGTAACAGATCCCATGGTGCTGTTTCAAAGGTGATCATCTTCTCTCAGTCTTGGCCAGTGCTTATACCATAAGCAACATCAGCAAAACAGATTATGGTCATCATTTGGTTGCTGGTATTGGAGGCTTGCTGTGTGCAAATGGGCTGCTCCATTTCCTACGTAACCACATGATTCCACTTGAATATATTGTTGGCTCACTTTGGAAAGCCATGAAAGGTCTTGCAGAAAAGCAAGTCTTTGCCGTTTACTTGTATCAGGGCAGTCTCTGGGATTAGGTCGTGAGGAGAAGGGGAGGTGGGGGTCATTAGTTGCCACACTTGTCCCAAATTAAGGGAGGGAAAATAATCCATAGATTCTGCTTCTAATCGGAAGGATTAAATGTCTTGCGTCCATTGTGTACACTGGTTACCTGGTCACATTATTGGAGTGTGAACATTGGAGCGATTGGCATTACAGTTTTGCTAGAGGGTCAATAGAAATCTCCTAACTTTGTTTAGCCCAGCGTTTATTCCAGTTGCCTTGAGTCCCACCTGCTGCAGAGAAATTGGAGAACTAACATGGAAATTCACGCAAGCAATAAAGAAATGGACTGTTTTCCACTGTGAGAGATCCAGCACACTTTGCTGCACACACAACATCCTGATTCGCCAGTGAAAGCGAGCAACTTGAAATAGATACAATTGGCACCACTCCCCCTCCCAGTTTTTCTGTATGACTGTGACTCCCGTGAACGAGAGGTTAGCTTGTTTTTGTACTCTGAGGCAGCCAATGCAGACCAGTTATTTTCTGACAAACATTTCTCAGGAACATCATTGGACCAGTCAGACCTCCACATACATGTAAACCCTGAAAGAGGGAAGGGAGGCGAAGAAGCAAGAATAGAGAACAAAGTAATTTTACACAATAAATTCAGTGAACTATTACCTTGGTATTCCACTACTTATATTAACCATGAGTATTTCTTTTCAGGATTGAAACCAGACACTACCTATACCGTGTCCATTTTATGTCTCACTGTCTTTAACCAGACACTCAGCTCCAAGCCGCTTAATATCACTACTCTCCCATGTATGTATTTGCAAACTTTACTATCAGTCTAAAGTTGTCACTCACTGTCTCTCTGTAAGAGGACTGAAATCTTTTCCTCATACTGACTGAGGCTCTATTTTATTGGCAGCTTTGAGATTCATCGTCAATGTGTATGCTTCCCATATAACCTCATCTACTGCTGTGATTGGCTGGGATCTACACCCTGCAGACGCTGCCCTGGTTTGGTCCTACTCCATTACCTGTGGTCCTTATGAAGGTGGTGGACCCAACAAGAATATAATTGCATTCCCTCCAATAACCACTGTGATCCTCACAGGTAAAGACATGGTAAATGTGGAGTGAGAGTGGTCTTTTGCCTCTATAATCTCAAATTTTGTGCCTATTCTGCTGAGTTAGGGACAGAAGCACAGAGATCCAGTAACTTTGGAGATATGTTCTGGAGTAAGACCCACTTCCATCAGGACCCTGTTCCATATTGGCAGCATTGAACTTTATATTGGGTTATAGGAGGCTTCATCAGATTACAGAAGTGATGTGACATTAAAATAAATCAAGTTAAAGATCAATATTAAAACTAACTTAAGATAAAGATCAATCAGGAGGAAGTGTGTAGGAATGCTAATGACCTGTGACGCGTGACAGTACTGAGGGGTTAAAAAATGTCAATATTGCTAGCAACTAGGTGAAAAGCTTTGCATCGGATCTTCATCCTGAAACAAAAAGATTGTTACAGCTCGAAGAACCAGTTACGGGATTCTCAAAGAGATTTCAGGCAGCACAGTGGCTCAGTGGTGAGCAATGCTGCCACCAGGGTCCTGGTTTCGTTTCCAGCTTCGGGCGACTGTCTGTGTGATGTTTGCACATTCTCCCCGTGTCAGCGTGGGTTTCCTCCCACAGTCCAAAGATGTGCAGCTAAGGGTGGATTGGCCATGCTAAATTGCTCAGAGTGTCCAGGGATGTGCAGGCTAGGTGGGCTAGCCATGGAAAATGCAGGGTTAAAGGGATAGGTAAGAGAGGTGGGTCTGGGTGGAATGCTCTTTGGAGGGTTGGTATGGACTCAATGGGCTGAATGGCCTGCTTCCACACTGTGGGGATTCTATGATTTCCTTTCCTGAAATTTTAATGCAAGATTGAGATAACACAAAGAAGCATGCATAATGTATAATACAACCAAAAGAATTTATAGCTATGCAAATCTTAAGATCTCATTGAGAACCTTTGCTCGGGAAAAGTACACTTCACCAACGAGGTAATGGAGGAGCTGTACTATCTATTTGATGACCTGCAGTAAGATCTTTATGGATGAATCCACCTCTCAATGTGTAGGTGATATTGTTTTTGATTTAAACCAAAGCTGATTTCAAGCAATGACTTATACCATGCATTAAATTTCCAAATCAGAGAATCGTAGAATGGCTACAGTAGGAAGGAGACCATTCAGCCATACACATGCAGGCCTTTTCTCTGTAAAAGCAACTCAGCAAGTCCCACTTGTTTGTCTACTTGCATAGCCCTAGAATTTGATTTAACTTCATCTCCTGGATGTGAAAAATTCATAGAATCATATAATCCCAACAGTTGCTAACAGGCCATTTGGTCCATCGAGTCTGCACAAACCATTTGGACGGCCTTCCACCCTGACCCTACCCCCGACCCTGTAACCCTGCATTTCCCATGGTTAATCAACCTAACCTGCACATCCCTGGACACTATGGGCAATTTAGCATGGCCAATCCACCCTAACCTGCACATCTTTGGACTTTGGGAGGAAACTGGAGCACCCAGAGGAAACCCACACAGACACGGGGAGGATGTGCAAACTCCACGCAGTAGAATCCCTACAGTGTGGAAGCAGGCTATTTGGCCCATCAAGTCCACACCGACCCTCCAAAGAGCATTCCCTAAGGCTGGAATCGAACACATGTCCTTGGCACTGTGAGGCAGCAGTGCTAACCACTGAGCCATTGCGCCACCCACAAATTAATTGAACGCTCATGGGGAAACAGTGGCCTAGTAGTATTATTGCTGAACTATCAATCCAGAGACCCAGATAACGTCCTGGATACCCGGGTTCCAATCCTGCCACAACAGATGATGGAATTTGAATTCAATAAAATATCTGGAATTAAGAATCTAATGATGATCATGATCCCATTGTCGATTTTTGGAAAAATCCATCCTAATTACTAGGGAAGGAAACAGCCATCCTTACCTGGTCTGGCCTACATGTGACTCCAGACTCACAGCAATGTAATGACTCTGAACAGACCTCTGGGCAATTAGGGATGGACAATAAATGCTGCCTGGTCATTGACACCTTCATCCCATGAATGAATAAAGAAAAAATATTTATATGAAAAATGTTCAAATTGGTTTTAGTTTGTACAAAAACAATTGATCTTAATTTTAATAAAATAAAGCTTTCCCAGGATATCCACCCCATGTAATTCCTTACTATCACTGTGATTTTTCTTTTTTCCCATTCAGTTCACACAGTCAGATAGATAGCCTTTGCATAATCTATCCTTCTGTATTGTAGGTAGTTGAGGACCTAGCAAGGACTCTGTGGCACTCCACCACAGACAGCTTGCCAATCCATGAAAAACCCATTATCACTTCTCTCTGCTTCCTGTCCACTCAGCGAACCTATATCCATGATATTAGGTTCCACCCTGCACCATGTGCTCTTGTCTTGTGCAGCAACCTTTTGATGTGGCATCTTTTCAAATTATCTTTGCAAAATCCAAATATGTCACATCTACTGGTTCCTCCCTTCTCATTTCACAAAGCCATGCCTGACCAAATTGTGATTTCCTAAGTGATCTTTTTTTCAGGGAGTATAGTCAATCAGAGGGTTGTTCATGACTAACGAAGCTTTCCTATGTCTGCTATGGATTATTACCCCTTAAGTGAGACTAGAACAGCAGATGAGGGGGACAATAAGAAGGAACGTGCCTTCACTTAAATTGTCATAACAAGAACCTAGTGATTCCGAAAGGTGCAGTTCTATTGCCTGGATAGAACAGTCAGTGTCCCACGTGTTTGTAACTTTTTGTACATTGCGCAGAAGTTCCATTATAGAAAGATTGTCAGGACTTGGGTCCAGCTGCTTTTGAAGACATAATGGCTTCTCTCTGACATTTGATTGTATTTGAGTTGGGTGTCATCCAAAACCAGCGCAGTCACCACTTTAAAATGGAACCCAGTAAGTCGCCATCTTATTATTTTCCTTTAACAGATCTGAATGAGTCAACTGTCTACATTGTAACTGTTTCTGCAAAAACACTGTTTGGACAAGAGGACACTGGTTCGATGTTGAAGTTTATGACACAAAGCTGTAAGTATTCCTGATAAGTCACTTTGTTAACCACTTATTCTTGTTCCATTTAAACCAAGAGATGTCTAATGTTAAACTAAACTTAAGTGGAGTTGTAATCCCAGAGAATTCCCAGTTGCTCCACATAGATGTAACCTCTCTGTGCCTTCCACACGTGTTGCTGTATTGGCCCTCATCATTTCCTGACCTCAGGTGCAATTCCCAAATTGCCTCCAAAATCTGTTCCCCATGAAATTTGGTATACTGTTGGTCCAAAACATTTACTGTCAATTATTTGAAGCTTTTTATAAATCCAAATTGGCTCAAAGACTCTCCAACATTCCTCTATATAGAAGCTTCCAACAGCTGTCCCTGTTATTTCCAATCAGGATGTAGGTCTTAAAAAAAGCTTGGAGAGGTCCTTTTTTATCCCTCCAGCCTCTACTTGTTCAATGCTACCTGTTCCTTGTCTCTCCTGAATGTTTTTGACAGACTATTGTCAGTGATTCTCTGAAGATTTAAACATTTTGCTGAGGTTTTACCTCAGCACAATCACACCAAGCCAGCAATGCTTTACTCCTCCCTCTCTCTTCACTGTGTTCAAACGAGGACTCAGGGTCCTGTCCCCTAATCCACTTCATGGTCTCTCAGCAGCTCACATTTTCCAGCTCCTTTATCCTTTTCCCTTCCTCCCACAAGGAATGCCAACTCTCCAGTGGCCTCCGGGAATTGCCATAAATCTCCAGGACCCTGATAAGAGCTAAAAACAGTCATTTTCCATCAAACATTTCTGATTCATTTGTTGCAAAGTTATTGGATATGAGACATAAACTGCTTCGCTGACAGTCATGAATCATGCAATTGGGTTGATGAAATCTGCTCACTTTCCATTTGATTGAAGAAGACAGGATGCCCAGAGATAGGCAAATGAGGCGTCTAATTGCTGAAGTTTGATAGAAGGCCTTTAGAGGGAGTGTGTGGAACTGCCAGAAACATGGCTAAATGGAGTTGGTAACCCATCTCTTAGATATTTCACGCTGTTAAAGACAATGCTTGCAGCACCTTGCTGATTTATCCCTGAATCCTGTCTCATTTTTTACTCGTAGATTAGTTTTTTCCCAAAAAGGAAAAGTGCAATTAATTTGTCTCTTGCTTCCGCAGTTACTGTTCCATCAAACAAGACCCCAGCAGCACCCCAGGAAGTGAGGGTAGGAGAGTTTGAATCGTACTGTGTGCTTGTCAGCTGGAAACCACCTTCTGTGCCCCCGAATGACACCATACAATACAACGTGAGCACAAAGCCGGGACAGAAGGGAGTGGGCCCCTGTTGAAACCTTTTGTGATCTGTTTGAGTGGTGACAAAGTGGAGATTTTCTTTCCTTCTGCTAAACCCCCCTGTTAAAACAATGAGGATGAATTCAAGACATCAGCTTCATTTGGATTTGGTCAATGAGTTGAAAGTGCCAATTGGGTTCCATGGCTGTTGTATTCTGTCAGTAATAAGTCAGTGTAGTATTAAGGGTGCCTGTGACATCGTCATTGCATCTGAGGGTATAAAGAACTCATACTCCATTTTACTTCAAATCACTTGAAACTTGACACTGCTGGAAGCAGCTTCCTCTGTTATAAACTAAATAGCTTAGTATTAGCTCAGACATTGAAGAAAGTAATGTGTGTATAGAATAGTTAGTTGCAATGACTATCTGTTGGATTCTTCAATACCCCAATATCCACACCTAATTTCCTATCTTGTTTGAGAGATCAGGTAGAACAGCCTGTAGGAGACAAAGGTTGTTCTTGGGTCTCAGGAATATAGACCAGCTGGACAGGGGTAAATGTCATTACAGGTGTCTCCCTGAAGTTGGGTTGACGGCGATGATGTTCCAGGATGGTGTGGGGGATAGGGGTTAAGGTCAGTCGAGAAAAGGTCAATGGTGCTTTTAGATAATCTGCAAGGTGAGCGACTGGCACTCCAGAAAAAGAACTGTTTTATGTTAGTTTTTGAACTGGAACTCTGCTGTACACTAGCTATGCCTCTCTGGTGCGACAGTATACTGGGCTCTCCATGGCTGTAAGATAAAAAAGTGGGGCGAATAGGCTTGGCTAGAAGATTTCTCACTGGCATGTAGAAACTAATGAAGGTGAGGACTGGGCGGAGTTCAAATGCACTCTGGGAGAGTGAGCGTGGATTTTTTTTTAAACTGACAACCAATGATAATTTCATGGTGACCATTACTTTACACTAAAGATTTTTGTTAATTTAATTTGAATTCTGCCAATGTCCACAGAAGGATTTGAATCCATGTCCCTGGAGCATTAGCCTTATCCTCTAGATTGACAGTGAGGTGACATTTATACTCCACCATCTTCTCCCCAGAAATAAAGAATTTGTAGCTAGGCGTGCCAGAATGACAGGTCAACTTTCTTTTTAAATTACATTTTAACATGAGTCAGCAATGTGCGTAGAGGAAAGGAGAAGGCTCCCTTTCCCGTTTGTTTGTTATTCCACTTTCATAGAATCCCTACAGTGCAGAAAGAGGCCATTCTGCCCATTGAGTCCACATTGGCTCTCCAAAGAACATCCCACCCAGACCCACGCCCTCCCGAACCCCTGCATTTCCCATGGCTAATCCACCAGTCTGCACATCCCTGGACACTATGAGCAATTTAGCACAGCCAATCCACCCTAACCTGCATATCTTTGGACAGGGAGGAAACCGGAGCACCCGGAGGAAACCCACACAGACACAGGGAGAACGTACAAATTCCACACAGACAGTCACCTGAGGGTGGAATCGAACCCTTGTCCCTGGCGCTGTGAGGCAGCAGTGCTAACCACTGAGCCAGTGCATCACCTCTTCAGTGAAAAATCTCTTAATAAAACAGTATGAGACCAGTGTTCACTGTAGTGAGAGTACCATCCTCCGTATTATGTAGTGTTTGAACACTTCTCAGCCGCACTTCAGTGTAGCCTAAAACAACTGAAGTGTACTTGGTTCTCTGCCCAACAATTATCCCTCAATCAATATCTCAAACAGATTATTAGGCAATTTTTATTTTCTTTTGCTGTATATGGGAGCTGGCAGCATCTGAATTAGCAGGTATTCTAGTGCAGCTACATCACTGGCATCTACCCAGCAATCTGGAAAAGTCCTGTGCACAAAAAGCAGAATAAATTCAACCCAGCCAACTATCACCTCATCAGGAACAAAAACAGAAGTTGCTGGAAAAGCTCAGCAGGTCTGGCAGCATCTGTGAAGAACAAAATCAGAGGTAACTTTTCAGGTCCGGTGTCCCTTCCTCAGAACTCAGTTTTTACCACCTCATCCGTCTACTCTCAATTATCAGCAAAGTGACGGAAGGGATCATTTAACGGTGCTTCAACGGAAACCTGCTCACATATGCTCAGTTTGGGATCCACCAGGGCCACTCAGTTCCTGTCACCATAAAAGCCTAGATCCAAAATGTGGATCAACAAGCTGAACTCCAGGTGCAAGGTGGGAGTGACAGTGTTTGACATCCAGGCAGCATTTGACTGAGTCTTGCATCAAGGATTTCTAGCAAAAATTAAGTTATTGAGCATTGAGAAACATGCCGTTGGTTGGAGTCTTAGCCAGCACAAAGTAATGTGATTGTTAATTGATTAAGTTACTTGGTCAGTTATGGTTGGGCAATCATTGCTGGCCTAGCCCACATCCAATTTGCAGGATTGCCCAAACATAACTGACCAAGTAATTTAATCAATTAGCAATCATATTGGTGGATTGGCCATGCTACATTGCCCATAGTGTCCAGGGATGTGCAGGCTAGGTGGGTTAGCCATGGGAAATGCAGGGTTACAGGGATACGGTAGGAGGGTGAGTCTGGGTGGCCAAATGGCCAGTTTCCACACTATGGATTTAAAATAAAAAAGAATTTGAAAAAACACATTTGCTACATTACAAGATATTGTGTGGGTAGTATTTTTTTTTAATCAGGAGTCAGAAACTGCATTTCTGTAGCCCATTCCACATAACAAAGTCTCGTTACCAACCGAATGTCCAAAATGAACCATTCCTTTCCCTTCTTATTTCCATGTTTCCTTCTCTCCTTGTAAATCACCTCGAGGAGTCTCCCAGTGTGTAACAATAGTTTGCATTTATATAGCCCTTCAACAAAGTAAAGTGACCCAGGGCACATCACAGGAGTGAGATCACTAATAAAGTTTGGGTGAATGTACTAAACTGGGGGAAGGCTGCTGACAAAAATATTAGGCAGGAACTGGGGAAGGTGAACTGGGGGGGAACGACTGAAGGTAAATCCACATCTGGCATGTGGGAATCGTTTTAAATGTCAGTTGATTGGAGTTCAGAGCCAGCATGTTCCTGTGAAAATGAAGGATAAGGTTGACAAGATTCGGGAACCTGGGTTGACAAGAGAAATTGAGAGCTTAGTCAAAAAGAAAAAGGAAGCATACGTTATGTTTAGGAAACTGAAGACAGACAGAACCCTCAAAGAATACAAGGACAGCAGGAAAGGACTTTAAACATGGTATTAGGAGGGCCAAAAGGAACCATGAAATGTCTTTGTCAAACAGGATTAAGGAAACTCCCAAGGCATTTTACACATATATAAAGAGCAAGAGGGTAGCGAGGGAAAGGGTAGGTTCCCCAAAGGCAAATGAGTGTGGATCCAGAGGAAGTGAATGAGGTCTTTAATGAATATTTTGTATTGGCATTCATAAAGGAGAAGGACATGATGGGTGGTGAGTCTCACAAAGGATATATTGATATTCTGGGGTATGCTAATATAAAAATGCAGGAGGTGTTGGTTGTTTTGAAAAGCATTGATGTACGCAAGTCCCTAGGACATGATGGGATCTATCCCAGAATATTGAGGAAGGTGAGGGAGTAAATTGCTGAAACCTTACAAGAAATCTTTGTATCGTCTTTAGTCGCAGGAGAGGTGCCAGAGATCTGGAGAATAGCTAACATTCTTCTTTGTTTAAGGAGGGCAACTGAGATAATTTGGATATTACAGGCTGGTGAGCCTTACATCAGTGGTAGGGGAATTATTGGAGGAGATTCTTAGGGATAGGATTTACTCACATTTGGGAAAATATGGACTTATTAGTGACAGGCAGCATGACTTTGTACAGGGAAGGTCGTGTCTCACAAGTTTTTTGAGGAAGTGACAAAGATGATTGATGAGGGAAGGGCAGTAGATGTTGTCTATTTGGAATTTAGCAAGGCCTTTCACAGGGTCCCTCATGGCAGGCTGATACAAAAGTTGAAGTTGCATGGGATCTGCAGTGATCCAGTAATATCGATACAGAACTGCCTTAGTCATTGAATACAAAGATTAGCTAGCAGTGGAAGGGTGTGAATCTGACTGGGGATCTATGATTGGTGATGTTCCACAGGGATCAGTGCTGGGACCCCTGTTGTTTCTAATATATATAAATGATTTGGAGGAGAGTGTAAGTGGCCTGATTAGTAAGTTTGCAGGTGACGCAAAGGCTGGTGGACAGTGAGGGGAATACAGCAGGATATAGACAGTCTGAATACTTAGGCAAGGAAATGGCAAATGGAGTTTAATCCAGACAAATGTGAGCCAATGCATTTTGGGAGATTTAATGCAAATGTGAGTAGCATCACCATACAGAGGGATCTAGGTATACAGGTCCACAGTTCCCTAAGAATAGCAACACAATTGGATAAGGTGATCAAGAAGGCAAATGGCATGCTTATCTTCAAGGGTCGGGGCATAGAGTATAAAAATTGGCAAGTCATGTTGCAGTTGTATAGAACTTCAGTTAAGCCACATTTGGAATATTGTGTGCAGTTCTGGTCACCACACTATCAGAAGGATGTGGAGAGGGTACAGAAACAGATTACCAAGACGTTACCTGGTTTGGAGGGTATTAGCTCTGAGGAGAGATTAGACAAACTTGGTTTGTTTTCCCTCGAATGTTGAAAGATGAGGGGGGGGCGACCTGATACCAATTTATAAAATTATGAGAGGCGTGGATAGAATGGATAGTTGGAGTCTTTTTTCCCCCAGGGTAGAAATGACAATTATAGGGGACATACGTTTAGTGTCAAAGTTTAAAGGAGATGTGAGGGGCAGGCTTTTTCACAGAAAGATAAGTGCCTGAAACATACTGCCAGAGGAAGTGGCAGAGGCGGGTTGAATAGCAATGTTTAAGAGGCACCTTGACAGATATATGAATAGGCAGGGAATAGAGGACTAAGGACTGCATAGAGACAAAAGGATTTTAATTTAGCAAGGCGTCACATGTCGGCGCAGTTTTGGTGGGCCAAAAGACCTGTCCCTTTGCTGTACTGTTCTTTATTCTTTGAATGAGTGGGGTTGTCCATAACTCTGCTTTTGACCATTACAGTGTGGACATTGAGTGCAGCAACAGAGAAAATAGGGAATTTAAAAGGGGTCTTGTCCCTTTCTTTCGAAGCAACAACTTAATGGCAAGGGTCACTTTAAGATGTTGGCTGATTGGGAAAATAAATATCCCTTTGTTTCAACAGGTTAATGTCCAGGCCCCAGGCTCCTGGCCTGTACGATATACAACAAATACAAACTATATCTACTTGCGAGATTTGCCTCCGAAACCCGCCTATAACATCACAGTTTCTGCGGTGAACCGCCAAGGTGAAGGATTGCCCAGTAAGAAGGTCTCCCTCAGGATGCTGGGAAAACCAAAACCTACACCAGGTAAGGATCAAAAAACAGGAAACGCCCACAGGAGGTTCTGCAAGATGACAGATTGAGAAACTATTAGAAAGATGGGTGGTTTTCTCCTGACTGAATCCGCTATTTCAAGTACCCACTGAAAAAAAAACTTCATCTTCATTCTGATCATTTTCTAATGCAAGCAGTTTAAACTCGTGCTTCTCTGCCTTTCCACTTCTCTGTGCTCTTTTCAGTTCCTCCTTGAAATCTGACTTTTTGGCCAAACTTTTGAATACCATTTCATTCTCTGCTTTAATTATGTTAAAACACCTCGGAATGTTTTATATCGTCAAAGGCACCACGTAAGTGTAAATTATGCATTACCGATAAAATCATGAGAGGCATAGATAAGGTTGATGCTCAACAGCTTCTCCCCATGGTAGGGGAGTCTAAGGCTAGAGGTTTAAGGTGAGAGGGGAGAGATACAAAAGGGTCCAGAAGGGCATTTTTTTCACTCAGGGTGGTGAGCGTCTGGAACGGGCTGTCAGAGATAGTGGTGGAAGCGAGTACAATTTTCTCATTTAAGAAACATTTGCAAAGGTACATGGATGGGATAGGTTTGGAGGGATATGGACCTAAAAGCAGGCAAATGGGACTAGTTTAATGGTGAAAACTGGGCAGCATGGGCAAATTGGGCCAAAGGGCCTGTTTCCATGCTGTAGTTATGATTCTATGACTCTAAATGGTTTTGTTGTAACACTGAAGTAAGAGGGATGGAGAGTACGGTCTCTTGAGTCAATGCCTCAAGGGTTCATGATCCAACCCAGAATGTATCACATAGTCTGATGCATCAGTGGGGCATCAATGTTTTAAGTTGAACACGCCACCTTTTGGATCAGACTTGAAAACTGCTTTATCTTCCCGAGCTATTCCAAAGTGAGGTAAGATTTTCAGCAGCGCTGTTGAAAGGAGATTTGAGAGACAAGTTTTTTTTACGCAGATGGTGATAAGTGCCTGGAATGCAGTGCCAGAGGAGGTGGTGGAGGCAGATACAATAGCAATGTATAAGAGGCATCCTGGCTGATTTATGAATAAGCAGGGAACAGAGGGCTGTGTAGAGACAAAAAGTTTTTAGTTTAGAAAGGCATCATGTGTTGACGCAGTCTTGCTTGGCCAAATTTCTAATGCTGTATTGTTCTTTGTTCTATGGACAACTGTGTATTTAATACATTTTTAACAACATATTTAACTTTTCCTGCATCTGTTAAACATTAACACTTATTTATTTGTTCTACTCTGTTCTCTGCTCTTCCCACTTCTTTTCTGAAGCTATTCATTTCTTGTCAAATTCTGGTGTGATGGGCAACCCATGCAACTGGTTATTCCCCCTGTGAGTTAGGTATTGGGAGGTATTTAAAGTGTGGCATGGTAGAGCAAAGTGCCAGTCTGTGTCTCTCACACATCTACTCCACTGGGAGCATTGGCCAACCTCCCTCTCCCTCACCCTACTAAGCTTCCCATCAGTTTTAGCCTCTCTCTCGCACTGTGTTTAATTAATCCACTGCAGATAGTTGGAGTTTGAACTTGCAGCCTGCCTAGCTCAGCTGCAGTCTGTCTAACCCTGGATCGCTGAGACCTGAAAACAAATTTCAGTTTTTAACTTGGATTTCTGAACGAAAGCGACGAGCCTTAGATTTCCACATTCGTTTAGCTTGCCTCACCCACCCTCCAAATGCACATTCGAGTATTGTTAAATAAGTCGCAACTGTGGCTGTGTTGATAATGCTCCCACCACTGAGTCGTGGGATCTAGGCACTCCAATGCAACGCTAAAGGATTGTTGCATAGTCAGAGGTGCTGCTTTGTTTGGTTGACATGTTAAAGCCAGGCTACATCTTGCCCTGTCGGATAAAGGATCCCTTGCCACGTAATTAACTGGAAAGGGCTGTCAGAAGTCTGAAAGATACAGTATAAATCTTTCTATAAATTCCATCAATCTTCCTCTCCTTTTTAGTGCAAAAGATAAAGCCAAGGCTGCTAATCAATGAGGCTGTCTCTATAAGGGCATCAAGTATAATGTTGAGACTACCAGAGTGCGGGATGTTCGATATAGCTGCCAGACAGTTGGATACATCGTATGGTCAACTCTCGATTTATGTCGTTGTTGCAGAGAATGAAGGTGCATTTTTTAAATTCTTCCATCTATGAACTTACTTCCTCGTGTTTCAGCTTTATGGGGTGATTGTATGTTTTGTTGCATCAGAAACATGGAACTAATCAGTGGCAGAAATTGCAACTTGCTTTGATGTACCTTGAACTAATTTCCATTTCAACCTTCAGTGTTTTGAGTGTTAAAAATGAGGAGATAAATCCTCCTGAACCTCCAGAGATGACCTACTGTGACTCAGGAATGTACCCTTTGACTTCCCCACACTGTTAACATTAGCGTTGGCTCTTTGACAAATGTAATGCTATCCACTTTGTTGGCAAAAACAGGAAGATGGATTATCATCTGAATGGCAATAGATTGGGAAAGGGGAAGGTGCAACTGGTATGATGTCCTTTGTAGCAAGAGGATTCCAGTACAGGAGCAGGGATGTTTTGCTGCAATTGTACAGGACCTTGGTGAGACCACATCTGGAATATTGTGTGCGGTTTTGGTCTCCTTTCCTGAGGAAGGATGTTCTGGCTGCAGAAACGTACAATGAAGGTTTACCAGACTGATTACTGGGATAGCAGGACTGACGTTTGCAGGGAGACTGGGTTGGTTAAGACTATATTCACTGGAGTTTTGAAAAGCAAGGGAGGAGCTCATAGAAACCTATCAAATTCTGACAGGGTAAGTACAGGAACGATTTTCTCAATGACTGGGGGCCGCAGTCTATTTAGGACAGAGATGAGGAGAAAATTCTTCACCCAGATGGTGAGCTGTGGAATTCTCTGCCACAGACAGCGGTCTAGACCAAAACAATAAATGTTTTCAAGAAGGAGTTAGATCTAGTTCTTAGGGCTAAAAGGATCAAAGGCTAAGGGGAGAAAGCAGGAACAAGTTACTGAGTTAGATGATTAGCCATGATTATATCGAATGGTGGAGCATGCTCAAAGGTCTACTTCTGCTCCTATTTTTTGTGTTTCTGTGGCTCCATTCTGCATTGTGGGGAGAGCACTGCAGATGCTGAAAGTTTTTAATATATGAACTGCAAAAGCTCAGTAGGTCTGGAGCTATCTGTGTGGAGAAAGAAGAACAGTCAATACTTCATGAACAGGAAAAATTAGATTTATAACAGGCTGTAAGCACGTACAGAAATAAGGAAGGGAGTTCAGAGAACAAGTAAAATGGAAGCAGCATCAATAATAAACAGGACGATCATAGAATCCCTACAGTGACGAAGCTGGCCATTCAGCCTATCTAGTCCACACTGACCCACACTTCTACCCTATCCCCGTATTTCATGGCTAATTCACCCAGCCTACACGTCCCTGGACACTATGGGTAATTTAGCATGGCCAACCCACCTAACCTGCACATCTTTGGAACTGTGGGAGGAAACCAGAGCACCCGGAGGAAATCCACACAGACATGGGGAGAACATGTAATCTCCACACAGACAGTCACCCGAGGCTGGAATCGAACCTTGGTCCCTGGTGCTGTGAGGCAGCAGTACTAACCGCTGAGCCACCGTGCTGCCTGATGGTGTATAGTTAAGGGAATTGATAATGGGGCAATTATAAAAACAATAAGGTCTGAATTTTATGGCATAGTAGGAAGCCTTTCAGTCCATCATTTCTTTACTGGCCAAGAAAAAGCGATCCAGTCTAATTGTAGATCCTGCTGTTGGTGCGTTACTCTGCAGATTGCAGTATATTAGGTGTGCATATCCAAGTGTCTTTTTTATCTATGATAAAATGGATCCTCTAGCATCCATTCAGGAAGTGAGTTCCAGTTGACCCATCCCACCATCTCAATTTTAAAAAGAAATTCCCCTTTCCACAATTTGCTTTAAATCTTTGCTCCGTGGTTATTGGCCTTCGTGTTAATAGTAATAGTTCCTTCCTATCCATTCTATGTAAGTCCATCATAACTGTACACACCTGAGTTATATCTTCTCTCTGCCTCCTCCGCTCCAGTAAAAAACCAAGCTTATCCGATCTTTCCTCCTGGCGAAAATGATCTCTTCCTGGTGACATCCTTATAAATTTCTTCTGTATCTTCTCTACCATGATAACATCCTTCCTGTGATACAGTGGCCAAAATTGTTCTGTAGGTATGGTATAACTAATATTCTTTACTGTTCGAGCGAAACCTTCCTGGCCTTGTACAGTAGCTGCTGTTGCTTTTGTGCTTATAGCTACTGCTGCTGGGAGATCTGCTTTCATGGTTAGTCTCAATTGTCTGGCTTGCATTATCCTCCCACATCCACTGTATGTTGTCTGCAAACACTTTGTGACAATCTGTCTCCAACTATGCCTCAGTGAATCTCTCTTCCGGCTGCCCTCTAGGCGTTGGCCAATAAAGGAAAGTAACCTATAGCCTTCTTTGACCACCTTTTAATCAGGAAGGAAATCATAGGTTACAGGTTAAAGGCAGGAAAGTGCAGTCAAGTATTATCAGGTCAGACGTTACCTCAGCGATGGGCAGAATGGCTACTTTTGCTCCTATGTCTTATGATTTTACAGAACGTCTGAGGTATTGAGCTCTTTCTGTCTGACATGAGGTTTTTTTTATTTGTTTTATCCTAATCTGCGTGCTGTTGCACACCTTGCGGTGTCAACATTTCAACATTTTGCCTGTTCCATTGTGGGAACTTTTTTTTGTTTTGAACCCTCTTAAGCTCATCCTTGAATGTATCCCACTGTTTTGTTCACATGTTCTGATCTGATTTCGGACAGGCACACTGGTTTGACCGTTGCCATTTCCACCTCCTTTAGACCCATCCTTTTGTTGCTTTACCCTGTATTATTTTGGCATTTTCTCATTTTTTTCACTCCAGTTGATTGTAAATGTGTTCTTTCCTCCTCACATCCTCCATCGTCCCTTATTTTCACATTTAATTTAACCTACTTTCTCTCTCCACTGCTGTTGCCCGATCTGTGGAGTATTTTCAGCTTTTTCTGTTCATGCCCCTCAATCTTCTTGCTTCGCTGATCACACATGATGCTGCTGCCTCTCTCCCAACTCTTACAAGCCTGGAGCATACACTGTTCCTAATGCTTCACATCTTCGCAAGAATTGTACTGATCCCGTATTAAGGGCAGAATCTTATGCTGCTCCTGGGTTTGGAGAATTTGCTTGTGTCAGAGGCCAGAAATTAGGTTCCCACCATTTGGGATGCAAGTTTTCAATCATTATTGGAATTTGTAAGAAAATAAACTGTAAAATATGGCAGCAAAATTAGACCATTTGGCGCATTTGAGTCTGCTCCACCATTTGATCATGGACGATGTTTCTCAAACCCATTCTCCTGCCTTCTCCCCGTAACACTTATCCCTCACAAATCGAGAACCTATCTATCTCTGTTTTAAGTGCACTCAATGACTTGGCCTCCACAGCCCTCAGCAGCAATGAGTTCCACAAATTCATCACCCTCTGGCTGAAGAAATGCTTCCTCACCTCAGTTCTAAAGGGGTGTCCCTTCACTCTGAGGCTAGTCTCTCCTGCTAGTGGAAACATCTTCTCCGTGTCCACTCTATCCAGGCCTCTCGGTATTCTGTAGGCTTCAATCAAATCCACCCTATCCTTCAAAACTCTATTGAGTACAGATACAGAGTCCTCAACTGTTCCTCATATGACAAATTCTTGGAGTTGTTCTTGTAAACCTCCTCTGCACCCGCTCTAAGGCCAGCATATCCTTCCTTAGATACGGGGCCCAAAATTGCTCACAATATTACAACTGCAGTCTGATCAGAGCCTTATACAGCTTCAGCAATACATTTCTGCTCTTGTATTCTAGCCCTCTTGAAATGAATGCCAACATTATCTTTGTCTTCCTTACTGCCAACTGAACCTGCAGTTTAAACTTAAGGGAGTCCAGAACTAGGACTCCCAAGTCCCATTGTGCTTCAGATTTCTGAAGCCATTCCCCTATAAGGGCTGAATGAGCTTTCCAATGGCAGACACCCTTTTACATGCATTTGCATCTCCCTATATTTGATGACAATGAGAGAGTAACATGAGCCTTCCAGTTCCCCACTGCATGTCAAAGATGTGCAACAGATGAGGTACTGTACTTGCTGGCCTTTGGACTGAATATTGGCTGCCTTGGCCTCTTTGCAGAGTGTCTTTTATGATGTGCATAAGGTTGACATCTAGTAGTGTAAGTTGCATGGGCACAGTGGATCACCAAGGGAGGGGGCTGGAGCTTCCACCATCAATAACAACTGGTCACCAACTTCACCATCCCTCCATAACATGCTCACAACTCTATCCCACACTCCCATTGGAGCAAGTAAATACATAACCCATCTTCACGACTCCACATATTCCTGTCTGTCAGGCAACCCTTTCTGTTTGTTCAGCCCCAAGTGATTTACCTTCAACATTCTGGACAATCGTTTAAATACAATTGGATAGATTTCCTGGACAATCCCAATCTCAGATTAGGGACTGTTGGGTAACATCAGGAACCTGAGCCCTGTCTTAATACATTGGTCCATCAATCTATGGAACACAAAACCATCAGTATTTGACCCGAGGTTATTAATCTGATCCTGTCAAGCTATTTTTGCTGTACTATTTTCTTATTGCAAATAAATGTGCTTTTGCTACTAAGACAGGGAACACTTCCCCGTTAATTCTACTATTGTGGAGCTTAAGCATTTTTTTGATGTTAGATGACCATGGTGACTTCCCCTCGATATCCTAACATGAGTTCACGAGTTGTTTTGTTCTGTGCCCAGTTGCCTACAAGAATTTTACACTGCTGTCTTTGAATGCAATCAATGGGGTCTCCAATCAATCTGACCCCGGACAGCAAAGTCCGTATGTTGCACAGCAACACCTCTCCGTGTACGACTGTGATGATGGAAGGAATCTGGACCCTTCTAGGACCATGCAGTACTATGTGATTGGCTCCAATGGGACATGCCACTCTGTGGACATCTGTGACAAGCCACTGCGCTCCAACACAACCTACAGGTGAGCTTTAGCCTGAACGTTAAGGAAGTGTTTTCAATGGATCAGGGTTGACTTGCTTTACAGAAGAATGTCCAGAACCTTACAAATGTGCCCAGCATATTCTTTGCATCACAGATTAGGATTACATGCTCTGAAAGGTTGAAGAGACTCCGCAGGATCAATCCTGGCTGCATCTCTCTGGAACGCCAATTAGAATATCAGACAGATGCACATCAGCTAACTCAGAATAGGACTGGTCCAAATAGTACATATCATGTTGCTTATGGGCTCACAAAATAAGGAATTAGCATTTCTGTAGTGCCATACACAACCTCTATTATAAGTGCTGTCCCTGTTGTAATGCTGAGACACAGCAAATAATAACAACATAAATGATCATTCAATGTCTTTTTAATGAAAGTGATGAAGAGATCAATATTAGAAGAAGACAATAAAACTCCTTGCTTTTTTTCTCGCTAGGACCTTGGGATCTTTTTATTTCCATGTTAGAGGATATGCAGGACTTGTGTTGCATGACTCATTCAAGATGGCAGCTGCAACAGTCAGGCACTCTCTCAGTATTGGTCTCTGAAGTGTCATCTTCAGTGATATTTCTATAACTAGCTTTGAATCCATAACCTTTGCTGAGAGGTGAGAGTTGAACTAAGCTGGCGATGCAATTCCTGATAATTCAATACGTCCTCAGTAGAAAATGTCCAAAATTTGTGGGAGATCTGCTGCAAAAGAAAGTAGATAACAAAAATTGTAATGAAATATTCAGTTATGCATATCTTTCCACAGATTAGTCACCCACCCACATTTGGTACGCACCATTCCTGTCATAAATTGGGTTAATATATCAATTGCCATGGTGGCCACCAAAGATTATAAATGGATGACATTGGGATAATATCATCCATCACTCAACATTGAGGTTCCAATATGAGGAAAAGGCTGGGATATGACCTATTCGAGGCTTCACTGGATGTAAAGTGAAAGAGACTATGAGGAGAAAGGGGAGGAACGAAACTTCCTCTGGCTAAGAAAAGATACTTGGTGAAAGCTCTGTCTTGCTTCAGCTTTGGATGGGATTTTGAGAAAGTATACTGACTTGGATTTTGTCCTCCCCAGGATCAAATATCTTCTGGTTGATCAAGACAGAGGCGAGATCATGAGCAGCAATTGGTCGGATAAATTCCAGACAAAACAAGGTGAGTTGGGTTAGCGACCAATCAACACTGAAGATGTAAATCATAAATCTGTAGTTCCAGGAAGGACTGACAGCGACGCCCTGCTTTGCCGTCCCATAATTTAGTACTTTAACTATTTCCAAAATAGAAACATTGTTGATTGCAATGGAGGATGCTTACAGGGGTGAATGTGTTCCTAGAATTACACTCTCGTCGTCTAATAGATTGTATGTAGTTGAAGAGCTCAGTTTTCCACTCCCTCCGTTGCTGTGATATCTACAGTTATATTTGACATTAGCCGTTTGGAAAGAGACATACCATGTTGACTTCTTTATCCTTTCCCCAGTCGCTATGGGTTGGAACCCAGGACTGCAGGGTATTAGCCTAGCCTTCTGGATTATGAGTGCAGTGACAGAACCACTAAAACACCATCTCCCCTAACAACTGAGAATATTCAAAAGGGGCGGCATCGGTCCATGCTAATTGAGATGCTCGTCACCATTGCTAATCAGAAAAACCTTCTCGCTTTTCCTATGATGGTTTCCCGTAGGTTAGGAGGTTAGCAGAAAACACAAGAGATATCGATTAACGTAGAACATCAAGGGAGTAATCATGAGGAAAACTGATGCCATCGCCAGGACGGTTGACAAGAATTTTTAATGAAGTCCCCATGAAACTCTGGGCACTTAAAGGGTGGCCTATCCGGCAGGACAGAGGGCAGAATCTTCCCTGTGGCACATTTGGTGGTGAGGGCTAGTTGAAGCCATATTCTAGCAGTGGGGCAGGGTCTTGCTGTGTGAGGACCATGCCAAGCAGGACAGGACTGTGCAGGGATACTTGCAGGCTTCCTAGGCCTTGGGAGGGTGTCGTGCAGGGATCACCCACTGGTGGAGCTGCTGGTCCTTGGTAGCTGACTTGAATCCCTGGAACCCTTGATCTCAGAGGAAGGCCTGCCAACTTGCCCATCAAATTCCTGAGTGGACCAAAAATCAATGGTCTGACCCCTAAAGAGGGGACGTGAAGCTCTGGATAACTCTTCACCCAGGCTGAGGGCCCCACCACAAGATCCCACTTTGAGGGACTAAATGTAAGGTCCACCCATCGAGTATGTAGTGTTTTTGAGGAGGTGGTAAGCGAAGTGGGAGCAGGTAGGTGCTTTATGACTCTGAAGGGAGTGAGGCATCTTGGGACTGGCCTTCAGAGATGCTAAGAGCTCTCTGGTACCCAAGTCACATGGTCAGTCTCAGACATGGAGTCTGAATGGTGTAGTGGGTGTATTCTGCTGAAGGAGGTAGAAAAGCTGACACAAAAATGTAGGGGGCTGGTCTCTACTGATGGGGACAGCCACATTTGCCCGCATCAAATGGACACTGAGCCATAGGCCACCAGAAGGGTATGGTCAAGGACTGAATAAAGGCATCGGCTATCTGAGTGTAATTGCTGGTTTTTTGTTTAATTTGCGGTGCGGTACTCACTTCTGCCTGTCCCATCTGACTGTTGTACTCTGTCTCCTGTCAGCCGTCCCATATCAAATGCTGGAGGAGGATTGGCAACGCTCAGCTCCAATGGTTATCATCACAGTCCTGTCACTGGTTTTCCTGAGCCTCCTTTTACTTGGCCTCCTCTTTATGTGGTGCTACAGGAGGAAGAGGTAGGTGGAGAGGAATTGAGTACCAAAGGATGCAAACTTCATGCAGAAACACTGATCAGGATGTTGCTGTATAAATGTAAATGTCTTTCTACAGCTCACCCATCCTCTATCCATTAGTTTTGCAATCATTTGTAACAGGGTTTCAGTAGAAGGTCACTATCATCCAAGGAAAAGATCCTTCTCAGTGTTTCACACAACGGCATGTATTTTCTAGTTTCTAGCCAACAGTAATTCTCAAAATTTAAACAACAATCCAATGGTAATGGCAACTGTGGCAGTACACTGGTGGATGTAAAATGATACCTGTTCATGACAAAGGAAAAACACAAGGCAGAAAACTGTAGCCCAATTACATTCGTATTTTTGATTATAGTTAGAATCCCTGCAGTGTGGAAGCAGGCCATTCAGCCCATAGCAACCCTCTGGAGAGCATCCCACCCAGACCCAGCCCCCGTACCCTGTCCCTATAGCCCTGCATTTCCCATGGCTAACCCACCTAGCCTGCGCATCCCTGGACACTATGGGCAATTTAGCATGGCCAATCCACCAAACCTGCACATCTTTGGATTGTGGGAGGACACTCAAGCAGACACGGGGAGAACATGTAAACTCCACACAGACAGTTGCCTGAGGGTGGAATCGAACCTGGGTCCCTAGCGCTGTGAGGAAGCAGTGCGAACCACTGAGCCACCGTGCCGAATTCAGCCAATTCTCAAATCCAGAATGCAGGATGAAAATCACCTTTGTAAATTTTGGAATAATCAGGGAGAATGAACAAAAGACGAATTAGAGCAGAAGTAGGCCATTTGGCCCCTTCAGGCCTCCCCTGCTATTTAATAAGATCATAGCTGATCTGTTTGTGTTTCGGACCACAAACAAAAAAGACTGGAAAAATGTCTAAAGTCTGACAACTGACGGATACCTTGAGAAGTTATACTCATCAGGAAAGGCTGAACAGGCTGGGGTTCTTCCTTTGAGGGGAGGAAGCATTAGGAGTTGACCTAAAGATCAGTAAAATAATGGGAAGTGTTTGATAGAGTGGTTGGAGAGGAAGTATTTCTGCTTGTACGGGAGTACCAAACTGAAAGGTAAAAATAAGGCAGTCACTGATACAACACGTAAGGAATTCAGCAGTGCTTTCTTTTCCCTAGAAAGTGTTTCGAATATAACATTTGCTACCAGACACAGTAGTTGAGCTTCCCCTTTCAAGTGTAAGGGGAAGCTAGATGGGTACGTGAGGGGGGAAAATTACTTGAAGAATGTGCTGTAAGGATGAGATGAAGTCGCATGGGAGAAGGCTTATATGGAGCTTAAATACCAACATAGACTGTTAAAATGAATGGACTCTTTCTCAGGGTAATCAACTTTGGCATTTTAAGGCTGAGATACCTCTGAGTAATTTAGTGAAACCTCTTCTGAGCAAGTAGCATTTGTGGATTAAAGAAATGTAGTGAATTGTTGGTATTTTTTGAGAAGTGTCACCTGATTGTATTGTTAGAAGCATTAAGATGCAAAGTGTTAAGGTGAATATCACATTTTGGCCCATGATTTGACCTAAGACAGGAATTGGAGTGGAACATTAAAGGCACTGGTGAGAAGTCCTTTCCCCTAACAATCTCTGTTGGGAGGTATTTTATTTTTTAAATGTTCATAAGTACAAGAGGGACAAAAGCATCTTGGTGTCAGAGATAGTAGGAACTGCAGATGCTGGAGAATCTGAGATAACAAGGTGTAGAGCTGGATGAACACAGCAGGTCAAGCAGCATCAGAGGAGCAGGAAGGCTGACGTTTCGGGCCTAGACCCTTCAGAAATTTCTGAATAAGACACCTCTTGGTGTCATCAGGAAGCAATTTTTCATACAAGGGAGTAATGGATATCTAGAACTCTTTGCCTCCAAAATTTGTTGAACTTAGATTAATGTAACTGAGGATCAATTAAAAATTAGAAAGTGATAGATTTGGGTTTGCTAAGGATATTAAGGGGCATGAACCAAGACCAGGAAATAACGGTAAGATACAAACCAGCTATTATTTTATCAAATAGTAAAACAGGTGCAAGGGAATCTGCTTTTGTTCTATTGTCCTGTAAATAATATTCAATAATTATTTATAGTTGTAAAGGTGGGCCAGGGCAAATTATGAAGGGTAAATCTCCAGGGATGCGTGAACAGAATTGCTAATAGGTACCAGATGCAATGCAATGCAGAGAAACAAGGCATAATAGTGGTTAAGTAACTGATAAAGGGAAGTGTTACCAAAATACGAAGATCGTTTAAGAGTGGAGAGACAGAGCTACCTAGTGGTCCTTACGTTGATATAAAAGACCAGTGGGATTCTGGGTTTTACTTATCTAACATTGAAGCAAACAAGTTAAAATGAATTAGTAGGAGACAATTGACTGTTTGTGTATAATTCTGGACACCCTTTATAGAAAAGTTACTGTGCCCATGGAGAAGGATCAGTCAAGACTCAAAGAAATTTGGCCCGAAATCAGATTTTATTTATTAACCAAGGATGACATTATCGTGGCATTTTTCACTGAAACAGGAAAAGTTGAGTGTATGAATGGAGTATTCAAAACTATAAAAAGTTTCACAGGACAACTAATGAAGAATTGCTCCTACTATTTTGAAAAGGAATTATATAAGACGATACGTGGGGGAGAAAAACAGAAAGATCATCTCCATTGGAAGAGCAAATGCTAGCCTAGGCATAACGGACTAAATATAACCTCTAACTGTGCTTTAGTTCCTTTGATTTATATTCTAAACCATTTATGATTGACAATTTTCATCACTTTTTTTTAATTTAAATTCAATGCAGGACTGGAATGATGAAGAATAATTGGATGGGCTACGATACACATTTTAAAAAGGACAAGTGCAGGAAGAATATACTGACAGCAATGATTGAAGGACAGCAAAATGAGAAAGTCAACAACAGTCTGTTCTTTATTCATCCCCAGGATCAATGTTCTAATGAGGACAATACCTCTAGATCCTGGAACATTCCAGAATACCACAGGTGCTTGCTCTTGGGCTTCAATAGCAAACATTTTGTGTCGGAAGAGTCAGTGTTTCCTTTATTCTCTAAAGCTGTGATTAGCCATACGTAGAGCTAATGGGAAATTATGAGCGAGGGGGTCTAGGTAAGTTGCTTTTGCGAGGAGCCAGCAGGGGCAAGAGGGGCTGAATGCCCTCCTGCGCTGTAACCATTTAACTGTTTTATCAAAGTCTTGCGGAGCAGTTGAACTAAAACATTGAAGAAGGCATTTGGTGATTTTTGAATAGAAATAACACGCAAGGATATGTGGGAAAGCAGGAGATTGGCAATAGGGGTAATGGCGTCCATTTGAAGAGCAGACACTATG